CCCTCGCTGTCCCCAGCACACAGAATCCAGGCTGGTAGTGCTCCCAAGCCTGGGAAGGGGCCTCGTGTGTGGTCCACATACAGCACAGTGCGCTCTGTCCCCTATGGGCCCTGGGGAGCAGGGAATAGCCCCAGCGCAGGGCACCCCGGCCACGCCCCCAATCTGCCCCCTCCCTCATGGCTGGGAGCAGAGCCTGTTCCACCCCACACTGACAGGGAGCCCCCTGGATGGGAGGGTATTTCCCAAGGGGGCCATTATGCCCCCTTAGGCAGCCAGGGCGGCCTGACCGGAGAAGGGGCCGGGGCGTTCCAGGCCCTTGTTTGCGACGTTCAGCCGGTAGTTAGAGCTTGTATCAAGTCCTAGCCGGCTGTTCCCATGGAAACCACCCTTTACACCCCCGTTTGGGGGGCGCAGAGCACCGGGCCCGTCGAACTGGGAGAACTCAGGAGCCCATTGGTTCAAACGCTTCCCCTGGCAGAGACCTCGCTCAGCCGTTCCTGCGCCCAGCCCCCGGCCGCGTGGGATAACCCCAGCCAGTGTCCTGGGGCGGGTCTAGGCACCAGAAGAAATCAGCGCTGCAGGTATCTCAGCCAGCGTCCTGGGGATTGTCCGGGGATAGCTGGTATCAGGAGCCGTGGGGAGAATCCCTAGGGCTTGCCCCCGGGGGGAATTGATGGCGATCGCTGTTCTCTTTGGAAGCGCACTGATTATTCCAGACCAGAGTGTCTGGATGGGGAGCGATTCCACAGGAGCTGTTCCCGTCAATTTCCCCATGTACAGTAACTCCTCACTTAAAGTCGTCCCGGTTAAAATTGTTTCGTTGTTACATTGCTGATTGATTAGAGAACATGCTCATTTAAATGTGCGCAATGCTCCCTTAGAACATTGGTTGGCAGCCACCTGCTTTGTCCAGAAGAAGCAGCCTGTGGGAGCTGGCTGGTGGGGGCTTGGAACCAGGATCGATCGGCAGCCCCCCTATCAGCTCCCCACTCCCCTAAGTTCCCTGTGTGGCAGCCGCCCAGCAGGCTATGTGTGATGTCCCCCTCCCCCCGCTTTCCTCTCTCAGACATTGACGAGTGCCGCAAGACCCCAAATATCTGCGCCCCGAAGGCCACGTGTATCAACAGCAATGGGAGCTACCGGTGTGAGTGCCGGGCCGGCTACATCCCCTCCAACAGGAACACGACCCTGTGCGAAGGTGGGTCCTGCCGCTGGGGGCATGGAGGGGACACCTGGGGGGCTGAGCAGGGTCTGGGGTTACACAGGCAAAGGTCTTGCCTGAGGGGGCAGTGAGCTGGGAACTGGTCTGGGATGATGCACCAGTCCATCTGCCCCCAGTGGCCGTGGTCCCTCTGGGTCTCAGCCCGGAGGGTGGGGGGGTCAGACTCCTGGCCCTCACCTCCCCCCAGCCTAGCCTGTCCGTCCACTGGGGTGTTTCTGGTTGTCTCAGAGCCACGGCCACCAGCGTGCCCAGGTCTGGCTCTGGGAGCGGAGCAGGGGCCAGGCCGGGGAGTGGGTGAGCAGGGCTGCCAGGGGCCGGGCATCTCTCCCCAGCAGTGCCTGTATTCCTGCTGCACGGCTGGATTCTCTGCCCTGGGAAGATGTCAGCAGGGGGCGCAGTCTGTGTCTAGTGGCCACTAGAGGCCACTGTGGGGCCAGCCCGGGGCTCCCTGCTTGATTCTCCCTTCCGCCCCCACCCCCCCCGCCACAACACACACCAAAACCACACACAGCTGGGGGAGAGGGTTGAGGGGTGATAAGGCTGGAATGATTCCACAGCCTCCGTCCCACCCCAGTGCAGCTCAGTCTCCCTAGGACGGGGAGGGGGGACGGTTCCTTTCACAGAGACCGGCTTGTGGGCAGAAGATGGGGACAAGGGGCTGTGCACATGTGGGGGCTGAGTGTGTGTGTGGTGGGGGGGGTTAACTGCTCCCCCTGCTGGGAGAGGATCTATTACACCCATATCACTGACGTGGGCTGGGTATATCCCTGCTGGGGGAAAGTGGGGGGGACTGCTGTTACCCCTGCTGGGGGGAATGAGTCCTGCTCTGTGTGCCTGGCTCTGGTGCATGCACCTACCCAGCCAGACCCTGCATTTCCCCCCCACCGCCCCACCTCTGACTCCTCCTCCCTTTCCATCCCCAGAGCTCACCTGCCCCCCGCTGCTGGATGATGACAACTCTACTGAAACCAAGGTGAGCGGGGCACAGACCCTGGGCAGGGGATAGACCCCAATTCCCCTTTAGTGCCACGTTGCTTTTCACTGATCTCGCCCCACGAGGATTCTGGGGCCAAACTCGCCCCTGGGCAAAGAGCCAGTGACCAGTCCCTGGAGCCCCTGCAGTCCAGCCAGGGCCTAGGCCTTTGCCCCGGGGTGATTCTCACCCTCCAGGATCAGCAGCGTCAGGCTGCTGCAACACGCTTCAGCTTGCAACCGCCGTCCCCCACCATCCCTTGCAAACGCCGTGCACCTCCTAGGGGCCAGACGGGGCATTGCCCGCGCTCCCTCTGGCGCTCGGCTTCTGAGCCGAGGGAGCCTCTCGGGACGGGGGGAGGTGGGCTGCGATTCTGTGATCTCTTTTCCTGAGCCAGGCCTGGGCCTTGTTTTGCAGAACTTCCTGGGCAGCTTCCAGGCACAGGTGGGACGTCTCTGCAAGGCGGCGCTGGAGGAGCTGAAGCAGATGAACTCTCAGAACGCCAAAGAGAAGCTGCAGGTGCCAAGCCAAAATTCGGGGCCTTGCTGGGTTTGTTCCCGTTAGGGGGAGGAATCGTTGCTCCTACTCAGATCTAGTCTCAGGGTGATCTATAGGGATGCAGCGCCTGGAACAGGAGAGAAATAAACAGCAGCACTGCCCAGAAATTCCCACGCCTGCCTCTCCAGGGGGCTCTGTGCCCAAGAAGCTGCTCTCCTAGGTTCCTAGGCTAGACAGGACCATTGTGATCATCTAGTCTGACCTCCCAGGCAGTGATGTCAATAGCAGGAGAACTTGTCTTTCCTTTCAGGGGGATTGTGGGAAGGCAGTGGAGGACTAGCAATCTAGGAATGGGGGGTGCGGCAGGGGCTCAGGCACTGTGACACCAACACCCCCCACGTTTGCTTGGCCAGGGCTTCTTGGACATTCTGGAGAAGCAGATAAATCTGGTCGGGCAGCAGAGCGAGAGCGTGGAGCGGAGACACTGGATCGCGACGGAGCTGATGGCCACAGTGGAGAAGCTGCTGAGAATGCTGGCCATGACCCTGCCTGACAGCACGATCAGCATCGCATCCACCAACGGCACAGGTCAGCACCTGCCCACGCGGTCCCAGTATTTCCAGTTGGGCTTTTATCACCTGCAGCCTATGCTCCCGTCCCACTCCACACAGTGACCCCTGCTGGGAGACAGGAGCTCTCCCCCCGACAGACGGTGCTTCTGCCCTGCTCCCCACAGTGCCCCCTGCTGGGTGAGGCTGGGACTGGAATAGCTGGGAACTTTTCCCACAGCCAGGAAAGCACCTTGCCTGGCTACAGGTTTCCTCTCCATGTCTCTGTTGTGAGCCCTGGCCGGCATTGTGGTTGCAGAGCTGGGGCTGGTGGTCAGGCAGGCTGGGAACCAGAGCCAGGAGACCGTGACGCTGCAGCAGAGCAAGACGCAGATGGAATTAAACTGGACCACAGCCCCAGGGCAGGAAAATGAAGGTATGTGGTCATCGCCTGTCCTGGGGTGTGTATAGCGATGGGCATCGGCAGGGCATTGGGAGCAGCAGCACAACACCCCCTAGCGCAAGGCTGGGGTGTGTATAGCAATGGGCACTGCCAGGGCATTGGGGGTAGCACCCCAGCAGCACAGCACCCCTGGGACCAGTCTGCCCCAGAGCCCCTCCTGCCCCCATTTCATCCGTCTCCTCTGTCTCTTGCAGGCTTCACACTGGCTGGGCTGCTGACATACCAGGGGATGAGCCCCATCGTGGATGGTGCTGGGCTGGTGGAGGTGCCCAAGTCGGATGAGATTGGCCAGACGGGGAAGCGGGCGCAGGAGCCCGGGGCGGCCCAGCTACCGTGTGCTGTCTCCGGTGGTGTCGGCCTTCATCAGTGACCCGGGCACTCGGGCACTCAACCTCTCCGTCAGCATCCGCTTCAGCCACCCAGTGCCGGTGAGCCCCTGGGCTGGGCATGGGGGGAGGAGAGCCTGGGGCGCTGGGAGGGAGAGCTGGGCCCATCTCTAGTAACACCCCCTACCCGGGTCAGCTGGTAAATCCGCCTCCCACCCCGGGACAAACTGATTCTCTGTGCCCCCAGCGCAGCCCCTCGTACCCCCCAGACCTGCCCTCTCAGGGCCTGGGGAGACCTGCCCCCTGTGCGGCCCCAGCCAGCCCTCCACCCTGCTCCTGCCCCCCCATGCACCAAGCGTCTCTCTGTCCCCAGGAGAACAAGACCGACATGCGCCTCCTCTGCGCCTACTGGGAGCCTGACAGCAGGCGCTGGGCCACCCACGGCTGCACCCTGCAGAAGTTGAACGCCACCATCACCCGCTGCCAGTGCAACCACCTGGCCAGCTTCGCCGTGCTCATGGCCTTCTACGAGCTGGAGGTAGGTGCGGCCCTCGCTGGGGCCTCAGGGCTGGTCTGGTTCTGCTCTTCCCTTTAATCCTCCCCAGCGGAGCAGGAGTCACTCCAGATTCCTCCCGGAGTAAACCCATTCCCCACCGGCAGGCGGGGCCCTGGATCTGATATGGGTCTGGACCCTGAGCTCTGCACTCAGCCGTGGGCAAAGCTCTCCCTGGAGAGACTTGGGGCTTTGCTGGGGAAAAGGCTGAGTCGGAACCCAGGGGGCTGGGCTGGGGTCACTGGTGATTCTCCCTTTGCTGTGTTACAGGAGAGTTACCCACTGACCATCATCACCTACGTGGGACTGTCCCTCTCCCTGCTGTGCCTCTTCCTCGCCATCCTCACCTTCCTCCTGTGCCGCTCCATCCGCAACGTCAGCACCTCCCTCCATCTGCAGCTCTGCCTCTGCCTCTTCATGGCCGACCTGCTCTTCCTCACCCCAGTGACACGCACTGGCAGTCAGGTACGGCCTGATTCTCCCCTGCTCTGTTTCTCCACTCGCAGCAGGGCTGGGGTGTGTGGTTTGAACCCCTTTGTGCTCCCTGGATTCTGGGCTGTGCAGGACACGGGAGATTCCCGGGGAGATGTTTCAACCCCATTAGGCCCCTTCACACTGGACACAGTTGTCTGAGTGTCCCCAACCCCTGGAGTTCAGCCAGTTCTATCCGTATGTCACAGTGTCCGTTTGCATCAATTCCTCTAACTACATGACTTCCCCGTGGTCACCCAGGGACTCTGTGGCAGGGCTGGGAACAGAACCTGGATCCCCTGAGCCCTACTCCCCTGCTCTAACCACTAATCTCTGCTCCCTTCCTGCATCAGCAATGTGCACCCGCAGGACCCTCCATAGACCGAGGAACCTGCCTTCCCTGGGTCACGGAGCGCTATAACTGGAGAGCTGTGCTAACAAGAATCCCGGTGTGACCCCCCCCGGCAGGTCTCCCCGATACTCAGCATTTCCCTTCCCCACTGCAGTGTCCCTGGGCTCTCTGTCTCCTCTAGGTGGCGTGTGCTGTCATTGCTGGCCTCCTACACTTCCTCTTCCTGGCCTGCTTCTCCTGGATGTTCCTGGAGGGGCTGCACCTCTTCCTCACCGTCAGGAACCTGAAGGTCATGAATTACACCAGCGCCAGCCGGTTCAAGAAGAGATTCATGTACCCGTTCGGCTACGGATTCCCAGCCCTGGTGGTGGCTATTTCTGCAGCGGTGAATCCTGACGGCTACGGAACGTCCAAACAGTACGTGCAGCGCCCATCCCGAAGGGGAGCTGGGATGTGGCTTCCATGCGCTTCTCCGGCTCACCCCAGGTCTGACTTGAACCAAGATTTTCCTGCTCACCCTGCCTGGGAGCTGAATGTCCCCCTGGGACCCTTCCCATCCCCAGGGACACTAAGCTGCCCCGAGCGCTGTAGTTGAGTTGCCCACTTGTCAGATATCTACACTCCTCACCCCACTGATGATGTGGAAGATCAAGCCAGAAAGATCCCAGCTTCACTCCCAGCTCCCAGGCTGGGTATGTGGGGCTGGTGGGTAGGAAACAAATGCACCTTCTTCCTGTGTGCAAATCCCTGAGGATCCCCCCTGTAAAGTGAGCGACTCCACTAAAACAGGGCGTGGTGTGTTCTAGACACCCCAGGCTAGATCCTCAGCTGGTGTAAATCAGGGCAGCTCCACTTCCTTCAGTGCAGCGAGGCCAATGTCCATCCGCTGCATGTCTGGCCCTCCAGCAATACTGCGCCCATCCACCAGAAAGGGTCATTGAGGAGGTGGAAGAGGAAGTGGTGGCTGAAAGCAGGAGATGCTGAGGTACATGGGGAGGGCTCTTCACCTGCTACTCGCAATAGAGTCGGCCATGTCACAGGCAGGCTGAGATCCATCTCGCTTTTGAGAGCCAGCTGCCCTGTGACACCCCCTCTCTGCCCCCGGGGCTGAAAAAGGGCAGTAATCCCATTAACGTCACCTTCTTCTTCCTCCCTCCCGCTAGCTGCTGGCTAAGCCCGGAGAGAGGCTTTCGTTGGAGCTTCCTGGGTCCAGTCTGTGCCATAATCCTGGTGGGTACCTCCCAGAACCACAGGGCCCCATTCTCCTCTCACCTCTGCCACCCCATTGATTTCAGTGAAGCAGGGAGGAGAACATGGCCCATAAACACAATGAAAGACCCAGTTAGGTCCCACCTGGCTCATCTGCTGTGGTCAGTCCCAGGATGAGTCCCTGTGCTGTATCCCCAGGCCTACAGCCTTTACTCGGGCACAGCTCCCATGGACGTCAGTAGGAGTTTTGCCAAGTGAAGACAGAAGAGTTTGGTCTAGTCTAGTTAATGACCCAAGGAACGAGGAAGGGAGAGGGTTGCACTCTGCAGTGGTATTTGTAGGGAGGGAAACAAATGTCCCTAAATATTCCTCCGTACCCCTGGGAAAGTTGGGGGGAGGGGCGGGGGCAGGGAATTTGTTACAGCCTGAAGGTGGCAGGAAGTATTCTAGAGGCAGAATCTGGAATCTCTGAGCCAGATCCTGCTCTCAGTTACACCAGTGTAAACCCAAAATAACTCCTGACTCCACTGGAGAGGCTCCATATTTAACTCTGAGCAGCATCTGGCCTCTGTGATCCCATTGATCCATCTCAGCCCTGGCTGTGCTGTCAGCTCCACGCATGGGGAGGGACCGAGAGCTGCCAGGGGATATTACAGGAGAGGGGATGATTCCCACCGGAAATGAGCAGTCCCCAGTTCTGCAGTGTTCGGATCGGTCTCCTGGGATCGTTCTCTGCCTCAGCTGGAGTCACCGGCCCCGGATGGGATGTTTTACAGGAAATATTTCCCACTCATCCCACAGATAAATATAACGTTCTTTGCCCTGACCCTGTGGATCCTGAAAAACAGTCTCTCCTCCCTCAATGCAGATGTGTCCACCCTCAGAGACCACAGGTGAGAAGGCAACAAAACAATCCTGGAGGGTCAGATGCCTTGGTTTGGAGGGTCCTTGGCACTGGGAGGGTGTGAGGGATTGCAGGAGGGGAACAACATATCTAGGGTCCATGGGAACAAATTCCCAGTGTGTTTACATTGACAGTAACCCTGTCCCACATAGGAAAGCAGGGGCCGATAGCGCCTCCCCACTCTGCCCAGATCCTCCTGACCCAGTCGCTCTCCATAGGGTTATTGTAACGGGATCTCTCCATCTGCCTTTATCCAGGTTACTGACCTTTAAAGCCATTGCCCAGCTCTTCATTCTGGGGTGCACATGGAGCCTTGGTCTCCTCCAAATCGGCCCAGCAACCACAGTCATGGCGTATTTTTTCACCATCGTCAACAGCCTGCAGGGAGCCTTCATCTTCCTGGTGCACTGTCTCCTCAATCGCCAGGTAAAGCCCACGGCCCATCAGTGCCCACAAGCACCTTCACCAACCTCGCGGTGGCCATGTCTGATCTTCTCAGCATTAGTTACATAGTGCAGTGACCATGTCCCTCACTCTCCAGGTGAGAGAGGAGTACAGGAGATGGATCAAGGGATTCCGAACGTCCAGCACAAAATCTCAGACATCCGATCTATCCATGTCTGCTGTCCCCACCACCAGCACCAAGACGGTAAGAGGTCCTCTGCTGTGTTCCAGTACCAGCCTGTGACACAGTCATTTCTAGCTGGGTCTCATCACTGCTGTAAAGGTGATTTGCCCCCGAATGATGCAGGATTGGTTATGAGCCAGCTGGGAACGTCACTGCAAGTGTTAGTGAGAGTCGGTCACTATCCAGCAGTATCCTAGATGTCTTAGGCACCAGAACAGAATGCCCTGTCCTGGCACCTCTGCGTTCCCTTCCCTTGGCTCTCCTGGGAGCTCCAGGGGTCACTCACTGTGGGCTACGCAGGCATTGGCTCTTGCAGTGTAATGATCTGAATAGATCAGATTGTTCCCTGGGATTGACTCCTTCTCAGTGCAGACGGATCATCCCCAAAGAGCAGTCAGCACCGTGAAGAATTTCCCTTGGCTCCATTATGCCTATGGGTCAAGATCCAGGGGCTGTGTGTGTCGCCTTCCAGACACAACCCACCAGTTTGTGCATTACACTCTCAGTGGCCTTGGAACCTATTGTCATTTTTCTGCTTTTCTTGCCAGGTGTAACCTGTCTGCCAGGAGGAGTTGGCAGCAACCAGGGCCGGGTTCAGTACTTAGGGGGTTCCAATACAAATTAGAACTGGCTGGAGCCCCCTGTGATGTTGCACTCCATATGCTTTATGGAAATATGCTTATGAATATGAGACAACTGGAATATGCTTTACTCTAAATAGCCCTTGTATGGGGTCTTTAGAAAGCTTGTAATCTATCAAGTGTGTTCATCCTGTTGGTTCGCATATATTATTTCTATATCTGGAGTTAGGAGAATAAGATATAAACCTGTATCATTGATGAAAAACATATTAAGTGGAGGCCATTAAGGAGCTTCAGAAACAATCAGTTGTAAATGGTCTTAGTTACTTGAAAGCCTCCCTGTGTACGTATGGGCCAGCCCATGGGGAATGGAGACTGGGGGGCTTACAGTGACATGTGACCATTCACCGGATAATGAAATCCATCTTAAACCTGGTACTTTTCCATTTAGCAGGAGGGGTAGGGACCCAGAGAGACAAAAGATTCCCCTTTGTGCCAAAACTATAAAAGGGGGTGGAACAGGACAAAGCGCTGCCGGTCATGAGAAAAACCCTGCTTACCATCTGAGATGTCTACTGGATCTAACAAAGACAGTACCAGTGGAAAGGATTGGACCCAGACTAGGAAGGAGTCTAGTTTGTGAAAGAAGCTTATTGGAACATCTTTGAGGGTGAGATATTACCTGTAATTAGGCTTAGACTTGCGTGTTTTGTTTTATTTTGCTTTGTGACTTACTTTGTTCTGGCTGTTATTACTTGAAACCACTGAAATCCTACTCTAATAAAATCACTTTTGTTTATTAATAAATTATAAAACCCAGAGTAAGTGATTAATAACTGGGGAAGCAAACAGCTGTGCATATCTCTGTTTCAGTGATACGGAGGGTGAACAGTTTACGAATTTACCCTGTATAAGCTTTATACAAAATAAAACGGATGTATTTGGGGCTTGGATCCCATTAGGAGCTGGGTGTCTGGGAGCTGGAGACAGATAACCTGCTGAGCTGTTTTTAGTTAAAGTCTGCAGCTATGGGGGTGTGGCCCAGACCTGGGTCTGTGTTGCAGCAGGCCAGCATGTCTGGCTCAAAAAGACAGGGATCTGGAGTCCCAAGCTGGCAGGGAAAACCCGCCCAGAGGTAATTTCAGCACATCAGGTGACAATCCTAAGTGGTCTCCGTGATTGAACCCGTCACACCCCCACCCAGTAATCTGGGAAAACTTCAGACCACCCCAGGTGCCTCTAAGAGGCAATATATCCCCTCTCACAAGCACTGAGTCTGTGTATAACAAAGACAACTTTTAATAAAAAGGGGAAAGGAATCTGGCAGTAATCTGGGAAACCCCACAACCACAATCTGAAAGCTTGTGACCATGAGTAAGGCTAAGATATTTTTAATAAAAATCACGGCCAGGTCGCAGGCAATAAACAACAATTCACGGAATCCTGTCGCTTGTCCTGACTTTCACTAAAAATATTCTGACAAAATGAGGAGGCAAGTTCAGCTCAGCAATCACTGCTGCTGGAGCTCTGGGGTCCCACACCACCACTGCCCCCCCTTCAAAGTCCCCCCCTTCCGCAGCGTCAAGAAGATAAGCAACACAGCCAAGTCCCTTGGGGAAGAGACAGGCGCGGTCATCAGGGTCTTGCCAGGTAGGGCCCAGTGCAAGCGTCCGGAGGGGTGCCCTGTTGCCTGCCTCCCCTATCAGGCTACGGAGCTCCCTGGTCAGTTCTAGGGTGGGAATTATTGGGGGGCAGAGCTAATTGGAGGGGAAAGGCCTCATGTCCGTGACATAATTGTAGCCTTAGCCATGAGCAAACACCTACCCTAGAATATATTGGGCAGTGTCTTTTGCCTCAGTTTCTCCCCTTGCAGTGTGAAAGTCCAAAAATTCTCCTTTAACCTGCCTTTACCCTTTCCCTCCCCTGCTTCCCATTCACAGTTGCTGTCTTTGGTCGGCGAAGGCCCAGAGTTTAGAGCGTTCATGTGAGTTCAACTCCTGCCGGAGGGTAGATGGCATTGAGAAATGCCTCGGCTGCTGCTGCCACCACCATGTATACAACTGAGGTCTGGTCTGACCTACAGACCTCCATTGGTATAATTATGCTGCTCAGAGGGAAGAAAAATCCACACACCCCCGCCCCCTGTGCGACGTAGTGTCATAGAAAAACAGAGTTCTCACTCTCAGATTGTGTGCAGCAAGTCAGATACTTTATTTTCTCTAGCAATTATGTGGTGGGAGAGAGCAGAACAGGTCTCTCACCAGGTAAACAATTACAGCAAGCATTTATACCCATTATTGTATATATCAAAGGGTGACAGCTGTATTTTGTTTATACATATGTCATCCTGATATCTTATTTTCCTCAACAATTTAGACTATGGTCTACATTCCATACTTATCTAACCCAAGGTCTCAACAACTTCTCATACAGCTCTTTCCCACTCACCTCACACAATCCTCACTTCTACAAATCTCGTGTTATTAGGGTAACAGCTAGTCTGACTCTTGCTCTCACAAGGGGACTGTTTAAATAGGAAATCCCCTTCAAATCCCTGTCAGTTCTTTCTCTACTTCCACAGTAGTTATACCAACCTGACCCCCCTGTGTAGACACTACTGTGTTGGCAGGAGAGCTTCTCCCATCGACACAGCTACCGCCTCTCAGGGAGGTGGATTAACTACACTGATGGGAGAAGCTCTGTCAGTTTAGAGCGTCTCCATTAAAGCGCCACAGCGGCACAATTGCCTCGGTGCAGCTGTACCGATGCAGCATGTTAAGTGTAGATGTGCCCTAAGGCTCAGCGGCTAGACCTGGCTATCAGTGATTTCAGCTCCAGCGATCACTTAACAAAACAAAGATTCTCCAGTGTGTCTGATCAGCTTTGTCTTTACACAGTGAGGAGGGAGAGGGTCAAATGGCATCTGGGACTCTTTAGGGAGAGCCCACACCCCTGGATACAGACACCTCATAGACTTTAAGGTCAGAAGGGACCATTATGATCATCTAGTCTGACCTCCCGCATGATGCAGGCCGCAAAAGTTGACCCACCCACTCCTGGAATAATTCTCTCCCTTGACTCAGCTGTTGAAGTCCCCAAATCATGATTTAAAGACTTCAAGTCACAGAGAATCCTGGGGTCTCTTTCAGGCTTGGCCACTGACGCTGGCTGAGTCCCCACCCCGCATTGTACCTTATCTTCCCCCTCTCATTCTGGGCTAGTCTGGTTAGCCTGGGAGCTCATCAGGGTCGGGACCGGGTCTCAGTAGGTGTTTGTGCAGCACAATAATTAGCGCTTAGAGCACATCGAAGCATGACACATGAGGGTGCTAATGAAAGCCTGTGTCACACTGGTCACCATAATCGTTGTGAGACATATGGGTGGAAAATAGAAGAACAGGTGTGAATTCATTTAGCTTCTTCACAATGGCCTTATTGTCCTTGAGTGCCTCTTTAGCATCTCGATCGTCCAGTGGCCCCACTGGTTGTTTAGCAGGCTTTCTGCTTCTGATGTATTTTGCTCTTACTTTTGTAGTCTTTGGCTAACTGTTCTGCAAATTCTTTTTTGGCCTTCCTAATTATATTTTTAGACTTCACTTGCCAGAGTTGATGCTCCTTTCTATTTTCCTCAATAGGATTTAACTTCCACTATTTAAAGGATGCCTTTTGGCCTCTCACTGCTTCTTTTACTTTGTGGTTTAGCCATGGTGGCACTTTTTTGGTTCTCTCACTATTGTGACAGACCCAGACCAGTGGGTACAGGAATCTGGTAGAGGGCAAATATACTGGTCACTGGATGAGTAGTTTTCTGTTCCCTGAGTGACCAGAGCAGGGGCTGCACTAGAGTAATCAGGAACCTGCTAGAACCAGTTAAGGCAGGCAGGCTAATTAGGACACCTGGACCCAATTAAGAAGAAGCTGCTAGAATCAATTAAGGCAGGCTAATCAGGGCACCTGGGTTTTAAAAGGAGCTCACTTCAGTTTGTGGTGCGAGTGTGAGGAGCTAGGAGCAAGAGGTGCAAGGAACTGAGAGGGTGTGCTGCTGGAGGACTGAGGACAGCAGGAGGAAGGTCCTGTGGTGAGAATAAGGAAGGTGTTTGGAGGAGGCCATGGGGAAGTAGCCCAGGGAGTTGTAGCTGTCATGCAGCTGTTACAGGAGGCACTATAGACAGCTGCAGTCCACAGGGCCCTGGGCTGGAACCCTGAGTAGAGGGCGGGCCCGGGTTCCCCCCAAACCTCCCAATTGACTTGGACTGTGGGTTTTTCCAGAGGGGAAGGTCTCTGGGCTGTTCCCCAACCCACATGGTGAATATCTGAGGCAAGAAAATCCGCCAATAAGCGCAGGACCCACCAAGATAGAGGAGGAACTTTGTCACACTATGTTTTTTTTTTAATTTGGGGCATACATTTAAATTGAGTCTCTATTAAGGTGTAGCTTGTAGAGATTTCACTTTCGGCACTGTACC